ACCTGCACATGCCAGCACACCTTCACATTGCATAGCTATAATGGCAGCGTGATATCACGAGAGGTGGGGCAGCATTCTTTCTGCTGCGGCCCGTGTGTTGATGCCAATGCTTCGTTGTGGATGCGGCATACGACAAATGTGTCACCGACCATGTTCACAAGATGCAGATTTGGTTCGGAGTCGTCAGACATGCATTAGCGCAACCACATGGGCTCCGGAACCACTATGTGGAATCGGTGCCTGGGTTGCGACGTGTGCAGCTGGAGCAGTGGTGTTGTGCACGGCTTGTGGATTCAATCCCTACACGTCTTCAGAAGAGATGGGTGAAGTTGTTTTTGTTTCGCATGCATTTCTTGCCTGATTATTGGCCGACGCTCCATTGCTGCTTGGACAGCGACACACCCGAGGTATTGCGGCATTATCACCCTCATTTGTGTGCTCTGTTTGGGCACGATTATATTCAGCGGTATCTTAGCTGAACGGTCATTCTTCGACGCCAGCTTTTGCACTCGTCCAGCTCGCTTGGAAGGTCTCTTTAGTTCCAGGATGTTCCAGGCTAATGTTTCATACGGCAAAAGGATTCATGCTTGTAAGCTCCAGTATTTTACGTCGTCCACCATCGCAATCCGATCCCTGTGTAACTGCAATTCTTGCAAGCCTCCCAATGCGACGGGGTTCAGGATTCAATTCTTTACTGACAGAGTGCTACGTCTAGGATTTTCGATGTGAGACTTCCAGAGTTAGGGGCAACTCGTGTCAGTGAAATCCAGTCGCTGAGGGGCAAATTTGCAAACAAGGAATGTTTACGACAATACGCACAGCTTGAGGTCGTCGTTGATTTTGGCACCGTGGTCTCCATCCCTTCATGGAGAATCTTTGTGGGATCAAACTCGAATTCTCTTAACTTCCACGATTTCTACCGGTTGTAACGTCGTGACCATTTGAAACTATCGTACGCTTCCCCAAGACCTAGACTATCCCAATCCATCCCACACCCCTAATTACTGCCCTCTTTCGTGCCTACAGTGTGCGAGTCGAAAGCCTACAACGTCCCAAGCTGAAATCTGGGAAGCCGTCCAAAGACACGGTGATTCAAGCAGTGTCGAGGTGTGTACAACCTTTTGCAACACCAACCCTAACACCAGACATTGCAACTAACCATAACACCGTGGTATGAGTGTACCTGTCGTCACTTTCATTAAAAGCACCCAGCTGAGGAATGGAGCTGGGCTTTGGCTCTCCACGCAGACTGGCTACAAAGTCTGTCCAGTCGACTCTTAAGGACACAGGTTGTTACATTTGGTTTTAGAATCATTTGCTTGCTGGCATGTCATGATCAGAAAAGCTTGCAGGTGTAAGTGGGTTCGGGGACGTAGGATCTACGGAGAGGCATCCGGACGTCGTGGCGCTTGTGCTCATCTTGTAGATCGCAGAAGCATTGGCATTCACTATGCATTGCATCTTGTCACCTTGTCCGAGAGATTACGTTACCGGAAATGCCAAGGCACAGTGCTGGTTTATTGGTAGCGGCTATTCATTCGGATTGTAAGGCTTCAAGCTCCGTGCCCTGCGTTGGCTATGTCGCTGTTTGCATAGCTGAGCCCAGAAGCTTGTAAACAAATGAAAACAAAGCTTGTAAGCAGGAGATGCGAGGTGAGATGTCAAACATTCAATCCAGTGTGAAGCAGCTCAGCAACACCATCGACGAAGAGGCCGCACGCGTGAAGGTGGGAACTGCAGCGATTTTCGGGTTCCGAGTTCAGGTTCCTTATGTTGAGGGCTCGTGATGTGGGGTTTTTGCATCTCAAGATTGCCATCTTGGGATTGAAAGCCGTTGCAAAGAATCGGTTCAGACCCGGACCAAGCAATGACAACACCCAAACAACGTGAGCAGTCACCAAGCGCTGCCCGGCAATTGCAACATCTTGAAGCTTCGCGGGTGGGCCAAAGCGTGACCAGAATTTGACCGTTCAGTTGTGATCCAGTGCAATCAAGCTTTTTGGGTGTATTTTTGTGCTTCATGTCCGGCGAGGTTTCTATGCTGTTCTGTTCAAGTTCAAACGCAGGAAAACATGAGGTTGTTCAGATTAGCCTTGAACAAGCGTTGTAAACGTACTCGTAGTGACTCCCACCTTGGAGGCACCTTCCTAACGAGGAAAGGCGATGTGCACGGGCGTAGCTCTAAACATCCCTAAGAGGTAAATCCAAAGCCTAAGATATGTTGGATTCATGGCTGGTATAGTTGTGCTTGGAAGCACTTGTGTGTTTTGATTGTCAGTTTTTTTTCTCCGACTTGTGGATCCGTGCCCACATTGTGCGAGCAGCGAGAGGCAGAACCCAAAAGCGCGACCCAAACCCGAACCCGAAACCTTCAATCCGGGATCTGTCCGGAGTCCAAACCTGACTGCCTAAAGGATACAGCGAGCGAAGGAAGGAAGGAAGCGAACGCAGAAAAGTCTGTTTCTACAGCCATGAACCCGCCCTGTTAATCCGCCAAGTCAGAAATTTTCAAGCCAGGCCGGAGAGGAGAAACTGAACAGCCAGATCCAGGAGCTTTCGGACCAAATGGCCGAGGTCAGCCAAGGCGTTTGGGACCCGAAGCCGCTGTAGGGCTTTCGGTCTGAGGGTTTAGGGATCTTCGGCCTGAGGGCCTTAAGGTTTAGGGTTTAGGGTTTAGGGTTTAGGGTTTAGGGTTTAGGGTTTTAGGGTACTAGTAGAGTGATGTGGTTTAGGGTATAAGGGTTCCACTGAAGCCCACAGCTCAAATGCAGCCTGACGGTATCAAGCCACTGGTGTTGAGTTTTCATTTATTTAGTTGAGTCAGAGAGAATTGCTAGTAGGCCTGTGGGATATGCTGTATTGACTTCTGGGGCGAGGTTGTTTTGGTGTACTTTTTTATACTTTCAAACCATATAATGTCCGAGTACTTTCAGCGAGGTTAAAGGGGGGTTCTCGTACAGTTAGAACGACCTCCACCAAAGGAGAGGGTGGGCCGAGCAGTATTATTGGAAGTCGAAGTAACAATGGAAAGTCATGCAGAATCTGCATGTAGATACAGGAAACTGCAACTGCGTTTTAGCCTTTCCTTGGCCTTCCTTGAGAAAGGTCCAGTGAAGCAGGAGGACGGTCATGTAGCGTAATCCGGTGTATCGTCGGACCACCCGAAGGCAAAAGGGTAGATGTTGAAGGGTTTAGAGCTGCAGATCTTTAGACACCCATTTTGGCCTTTTATACCGCCCTGCAAGTGTGCGTGGATGCTTGAATCCCCAACATTCCTGGTTCAGAGGGTCCCAGTAAGGGAGCAGTAGGCCAGGTCCGAAACTTACAGGGGCACCCCTCGTCAATACAAGCCTCGCGGCAGCGCCACACTTTCAGCCTGTGCATGACACATCACGTATGCTGCTACAATGGCCTATTGGCAATTGGTAACGAAGGCAGTCCTGCACAATCCGCGACCCCAAATCTAGCCACAGATAAAAAAAGGTAGGCAGAAGAAGATTCCAGGCAGATATTGAGGGGTGTTTGAGGGGTGCCTGCATGCGGAAGGCTACTGTGTGATTGTGTGCTTGGTTGTTCGGGGCTCAGGCTATCCGTAACTATGCTGTAAGCCGGACTCAACTGCAACTGCCGCTGCTGTTGCTGTTGTTGCTGCTGTTTGAGCTGGTGAGGGACATCGTCAAGAGAAGAATAAGGATGCATCACCAGCCCATCAATTCCCTGAAACAACCTGGACACTCAAGTCACTTCTCGATTTTTGCGTCATCTTGAGCCACATGTAGTGGCGACGCTAATCTTCTCAAGTATCGTTCCTGCAAAAGCAAAGAGTCATCCTTGCGCAGGGGTCATGCGACAATCAGACTTGCCACATTCTTCAACTGATCTTGCACAGCTGCTGTCTACGCTCTCTACAAACACACTCCTCCTCACACGACAGGTCAAGTTGCCTGGAGGGTGCTCAAAAGCTGAAGAGAGCTAGCAGCTATCAAACA